GAACAGGAAAGACCTTTTGAGATATTTTCTTGAGTTCGGGGGGTAGGTTATGAAAAGGGAAGGTGTTAGCACCCTTTTCATCTGTAGTTATCTACGGGATCTTAGTTGCTAGCTTACTTTGAAAATGCTTTGTTTGAAATGTGTTTGTGATAGTTTTGAAATTATTTTTTAAAAGTGCCTTCGTTTAGACGAACTTTATAATGATTCTCGTCTCTATAAGAATGTATACAAAGTGTTGACTTTTGAAAATATTTCATTTTGAAAGTGTTGGTATGTTTGAAAGATGTTTGGTTTGAAATGTTTTTGAGCAAGAAACTACGAACATTATACCTACTCAAAAAAGTCTTTGTTCATTTCCTCCTCCTTTAGATATTGCTATCTTACCATTGATTGATAAGAAGCCCTATCATTGGATGTGAAGGGATAGGCGTGGGTCGTCGTACAGTCATAGAAGGCAACATTGTAGGATACCTTAGCAATTTATCGTAAGGGTCTAAGATCGTTTAGTGAAGGCAACATCGAAGGGTCATCGAGGGACTACGATTTTGTATTCGAGGGTTATTGCTAAAGTATCCCATGTTCGAGGAACATGACTATTTTATTCGAGGAAACAAGTGTGAGTTACCCTAGAGGTGCAAGTATGCAAAGTGTATTGATTTCATGAATTTTTGTCTTTGAGATTAGGGTTTTCTAACGATTGATTTTATCTTTCCATACAAACCCTAATTACTAGCAATAATATTGAAAGCGATAAATTGAAGGAATTTAAAGTTCTACGCGATTACATCTTTTTTTGGGGATGGGGATACAAGTTTATGAATGGAGAATGAAAGCAATAAAGTTCTAATTATACTATTACAACCATATTGAATATTGAACAACAATATCTAAAAATATAAAGATAATGTAAAAAGGAAGGAAATTTGTTTAAAAATAACTTTATGCATTGACACATGCACTTATGCATTAATACATATCACTTCTTGCCCCTGGAAATCAAAACCAACTCAGTATGTATTGATACATAATGGTTTGCATCGGCTCATATTTGTTTTGTATCGACACATGCACTTATGCATCAATACATATCATTTCTTGCTCCTAGAAATCAAAACCAACTCAGTATGTATCGATACATAATGATTTCCATTGACTCATTTTTGTTTTGCATCGACTCATTCGTGTTTTGCATCGACTTATACACATTTTTTCTCTCTGTAATATATCTTGATAACAATATGTATTGATGCATAATGCCTTGTATCAACTTATAACCTGTTTTGTACCTAATATGAGTCGACTCATAGAGATATACATCGACTCATACTTCTGTTTTTTACTTCTAACATTGTTCAGTCACATATATAAGTCAGTTCTAAACACATGGTTAGTGAAAATGAAAAGTAAGCATATAGTTAGCTCCAGGGATATGATATCTACATTTTATCTTCACAAATGAACCACTAATGATACTTGTATGAAGAGTTCAAAGTCAAGAAAACTTACCTTGAAACTGAAATATGTGTTTTAATTTAGAGTTGTTGTATTGTCTTGGAGAAGTCAAGTTGTAGGAGGTTGTTTTTGAGTTTGGAAAATGGCGATAGTAATGTTACAGAATTTTCTCTTATGTTTGAACAACTCCTATATGATGTATGTGGAGTGTTTGGATGGTTTGTTTGGACAAAACTTGCAAGGTGTGAGAGGTTCAAAGATTTAGACGTCAAAGCTCAAGAGTGGAGGTTTTATGAACAGTTATGGTTTTTTGAGAGTATAAGGGGGTTTGAGGATTTTTCAACACACAAGAATCTGACCTCTTTAGCTTGCAAATGACCTCTCTATTTATAGAGAAAAGGTTTGGGAAGTTGAACTAATCAAATTTGCAAGATAACAAATTATGGTTTGGTTAGGATGCAAATATCAAGTTATGCCAAGTCTTCCATGGTCCCAAGATGAAGTACCAAAGTTGATGGTATAGAGGGGATACTTTTCATGATTTATGGTGGAGTATAATCAGAAGTAAGTAAGGTATGGGCTCAAGAAAGATTTTGTGCCAAAAATCTTGCTTTTCCAGAATAGCAATGGTGCCTTTATGTCATAAATGGGAAGATCTTTTGGACAATGACTCAAACACTTGGGTAATAGATCAAGAGTAGGTGTAAGCATTAAATTATGGTGATATTTTTAAGTTATAAGGCCTGCAACATAGGATTATGCAGCATGGCATATAGATTGGATTATGTGTTCTTTAACAAAAATGATTTTTAATTCAAGAATGGATGTCCAACTTCCTGCCTTTGAACCTCCCAGCTCAAGTATGATAAATTCATGCTATTGGATGTTTTAGAAAGCTTGAAACACTGTCTAAAACTTTCATGTTGACCATTTTGGATAAATCAAATTGGAACCTGATGAAAATTGGCCAAGAAGTTGAGATAAAAACTAACCAAAACCTGTTGAAAATTTCTCCAAGTGTTTTATGAAAAATGTCATGACTTTAGGAATTTATAACTCAAAATCCAAGCACTTCTAAGACTTGATCAGCAAAGCAAAGTTATATATATCATCAAGATATACAACTTTCATGTTGAAAGTTTTCTTTGAATCATCTCGCATCTTGGTGAAAGAATGTCATAAAGTTATGAAATTATCATGTATGAAAACACTTAGAAAAATTTATAAGTCTTGGAAAGTTTGACTTTTCAAATTGACTTTTGACTTTCTTGATTTCTTGATGATCAAGCTTCATATATTTGAATGTCTTGATGAAATGTGATCTTTGAAACTCAAATTTGATCATAAAGTCAAAGTTTGACTTTTTGGTGTACAGTTGACTTTTTCATCAGTTGATCAAATTTCAACTATCAATCCATTGATCTTGAGGAATATTTTGAACCATGAAATTAGGTCAACATGTTACATTTTAATCCTTTATGCTTCAAGCCATTAGATCATGTATTAGGTCAAAAGTCCCTGATCAATCAAAACCCTAATTTTGACCATTTTGCCCTTTTGGTAAATTGAGTGTTTTTTTGAGAGATTGTGATCAAATATTTGATCAAATGATGAATAGGACTTTAAGATGTTGATGTTGGCTAAAAATAATGAAGTTTGACTATAGGTTGACCACAATTGACTTTTTACCCAATACAGCTGATTTTCAGTCATCTGAGCAATTGATTGAGCAAAATTGTGATTCAAGACTTGAAACTTGACATGAGTAATATTAGAGGTCCATTATGATCCATGAAACTCATTTGAGGCATTAAAAGTTCAATTGTCCTTGTGCAAATCAAATTCCTAATTTGAGGCATCGGTGTTTAGAAGATGGTTTGACCTAGTTAACACTTGTACAAACTTGAGCTATTGAAGATCTTGTGAGAAATATCTTGAAAAAATAGAGGAAAATTTTTGGGGTACAACATATATAATATCTAATTAGAATAATAATGATTATAATAATGATAATAATAATATTGATAATAATAACAATTAATAATAATTTTAGCATTACAAGTATAAAAGTTTTTAGGAGTTTTGTAATTAGAAATAAGTATTTAGATAATTAATTAACCGGAAATAGCCGTAATAGTTCAAATAATTACGCAGTTTATTTGTAGTAAATTTTGATTGACCCGTTGTATTGTGTTTCTTGTTGAACAATGCGAATTTGCAAGTAATGTTGTATCTTGTTGAATTGCCTCTATTTATGGGCAAAATATTAAGTTGTGGGCTTATGGTCAATGTTGGTTTGTTGTTGCGTTGCTATGAAATTTTGTTGTTGTTATCCTAACATTCATATTGAGTCGCACACATAGCATATCAAGTTGGAGCTGATGCTCGGTAAGTTGGCCTGGATTGGCAAATTAAGTTGAAGGCTTATGCCTTGTTGATGCCTCTATTAATTGGCAGATTTTTAAGTTAGGATTTTTGCTCCATTGGTACCACATGCATGTACATTGTAACGAGTTGTATTTCATGTTGTATATTTAACATGTTATGTTGTTGACTTGTGATGATTGATGTTGGTTGAAAGTTGTGAAGTGATGATTTTATATAATCTGATCTAATAAATTATTTATCATACACTCAATTATATGGTTTGATATCTCACTCCTTCTGTTTGAATGTTGTCCTCTGTTTGTAACATGCAGGTAATCAAGAAGGATAGCTCTTACCTTCGTTAGTTCGAGTCGGTGTTGTCGCTCTGATACGTAACACTTGGGGGAATGAACGCATGTTTTCTTTATTGTTGGTTTTTATTATGTTATTGAAATTTAAAGTTGTTTTCATTAAAGACTTGTTGTCTTAAAGCCGTTTTGAGTTGGACAAGATGTTATGGTGTTTTCAGTTGAAATAGTAAATCCGCTGCGTAACAACGAAAGTTGTTTTATTTTTAAAGACTAAACAAGTTATTATCGGTTCATCCGAATTTTATGTGTTATGTATCTGAACTATAGGTGATTGAATGTCGTTGTTTTCAAGTTGAAAGTATAGCACTCCATTTGTTTGTTGGAAATTTTGTAACTTTGATTCTATATAATTCGTTGGATAGAAATGGATGTTACAGGGTGAAATTCACTGCATCAGGAAGTCACGACTGCACAGAAGATGAGGCCGCTCCAAAAATGACAGCGGTGCAGTTTGGCGCGCGACTCGTCGGTGGGAGGCCGAGGTCAGCGGCACCAGAGAAGAAAGGGGAGAATTTCATATCTATATCTAGGGTTACACTGAGATTTGAAGGAAATTTCCTTGAAGGTCAGGCTAGAGATTCACACTCTATCTTTTAATCTAACATGCCCCGTACTTCCCACCATCATCGAGGTACTTACCACAGTGACATTAAAAGATATCACAAGTTCATACTTAATAATGTTGGGATACCACAACTTTATAGTTAATATGGGGCGCAAATCCAAAACTGGGGTGTCTCCAATGGCACCAAAATATTTCTAATTGATGCACTGGGGTCTTCTCAGTGCGGATCACGGATTAGAGGTCGACTAATCGTCCCCGAAGAATAACCGATCAATAACAACCTTAGAGCGCCGCTTGACATCCCCGTTCCAAAGGAAATACTGGATTGGAAGAGAAATTCTCACTCCCTCTACGAAAGTCAGAGAGGCGAGCCTGTCCAGGAATGCCGCCAAGGCATGACCATCATACCGGGTCTTGGAGAAGCCAATCAGTAGGTAGGACCGACCACCTCTGTCCTCCTACCAATTACTTGAGGTAGATAACCACTTCAAAATAAAAAGCAAGTTGAGGGTCTCATCCCCGATGATAAAAAAGAGCCTGAACAGAGCATTGGACAAAGTAATTCGAGGATCTTAAAGAGAGCGACCGCTAAAATTATATGTTAGCGAGCAAATACAATGTGAGGTACCTCAGCGCCCCGTCCAACCAAAGAAGATGCTCTGAAGCGTGAAGTTCACTCAACCTGGTACCCCAAGGAAGGAAAATGGCAAAATACCCCAGACACTGCGCACCTATGTCGGAGTAGTCGTTGAAGGTTTATCTACCTATTCATTTCATTGTTTAAGTGAAGGGGTTGATGATAGGTGGCTATTTGTGTGTGTCTGATGTCGTGAATTAGAATTATGTGGCCATTGGTAACAATAACTTTCTGATTTGAATTACTTAAAGTAGAATAAGACGAGATATTACTTTGTGATGTTGTCGTATGAGATGTTGTGCTAGTATCTATGTACTATTGATTATCAAGAGTGTGTAGAGACATGGTGTGCATAACAACCTTAATATTCGTCGGTGTTTGAGATGATGTAGTAGCTGCATATGCCTGAGGATGTTGTCCTAGAATGCATGGCTGCTTCGGAGGACCAGTAGGGTATGCCTGCTGAGAGGTGGGATACGGGAACGAAGGCATAGCCCATGGTGGCAAAGTCTAACCCCATGGTTGTCAGGCTGAGTACTTTTGCTACCACTACCAAGGAGGAGAGGACCATGGTGGAGGGGCGTTATGAGCTCCATGCTGAGGTCCATGACGGTTATCATGTCCCTCGCCTCGGCCCTGGTTTCCACGAGATCAAGCATGGTTGCTTGGGCGGCTGTTTCCACGTTGGGAGGTGTTTCAGAAGGTCGCTATTGAGTGGTCTGCATGGCGGAATGAGAACAAGTGCCGATCATTTTGGACATATCGGTTTCTTCCAATGTGAGCATGGAACAGGCTTGATAAAAGGCAGGAAGAGGATTACACTGGATAATCAAGGTAGCAACACTGCAGTAAGCTTCTAGAAGATCATATATCAATTGAAGAACTAAACGATGGTTGTTGACATGAGAGCCAGCATTCCTTTACTGGTCAGAGAGCATCTTAAGATGTTGACAGTAAGCAGATGCATTGGGAAAATCCTCCATGCGAGTGTTGGAGAACACTTGCTCGAGAGTGACAATGCGAGCATTATATTTGTCCTTAATAATGTCAGCCAAATGATTCGAGGCTTTCATAGTAGTGGAGTTTGGTTCTAGGATGGTGGTTAGCAGGTCATTGAGATTGTGGAATATAACCATTGAAGAACGGTAGAGTCAAGAATTGTCCATTGTTCATGCTCAACAGTAGAGGAATTTATCGGTGGTTTCTTGTTCATGGTCATGGAGGGAACAATATGATGTAGAACTTGATGAGAGAGGGCATGAATGCAGAAGAGATTGACCCATGTGTCATATTGATCTTTCTCCATCTTAAGAACAATAGGAATGTGGTTCTTGATGTTTGAAACAGCGAGAGCGGGATGAAACTCTATCTTTGTGACTGTTATTTAAGGAGAAGAGGTTGTCTCCTTGTCGGTATCACGACCACCAGGAGAGGTGGTTCGACGAGAGAGAAGGGTTTATTTTAGAGAAAGAGATCGGTTAGGATCGTTACCATGTAAGATAATGGAATGCTTATCTCTTTTCATTCATTAATAGAATATAATATATACATCAATGTGTAACGTTTAGTCAGCCATCTAATTTTGGTGCTACATAATTACCGATAAATTATTACAAAATATTCTATTCTATCATTCAAGGATTTCCACCTTCTGATTCACCTCTGATGGGGCTCCGAACTCTTTGACCTCTTGGCCATACTTAACAAGCCTGTCAAAAAGCTCTTTGATCATAAGTTTCTTTCTCTCAATAGCTTTCACATCCTCTGCCTTGGACACCTCCAAAGGTTTCTCATGCTCTACTTTGGTGTCTTTCAGCTTCTTTTTCAGTGTTCCTCTCATTAAGAACTTTTGCAGCGCCAAAGGGCACACGAGAGTCAAAACACCAACAAGTGTAAGACATGTTGGTTGTCTTCTATCTGATATGTTAGTGCTATGAACTCATATCAACAGTTTGGATTTCCTGCCTCTCCAAATGTTCCGGCGAGGACATAATTTTCTCTAAACTACTGAGAACCTCTCCCATAGTTGGCCTTTCTGCACTCTTCTTAGCAATGCACTGAATGCCAATCTCCACAAATGCCATTAAGCATACCAACCTTATTTTTCCTTCTAAATATGAATCAACCAATCTATCAATAGTTCCACATTGGTGACAATGCATAGCCCATTCTACCAAACCAACTTTCTCATTTTCCTCTTCCACTGCCTCAGGATTCACTGCTGCTCTTCCACTCAACACTTCAAACAAAACCACCCCAAATGCATAAACATCTGATTTTTCAGTCAATTTTCTTCTTTTGTAGTACTCAGGATCCAAATATCCAAAAGTACCTTTAAGCTCAGTACTAACATGAGTGTGGTAAATTGAAGGAACCACTCTAGACAATCCAAAATCTGAAATCTTTGGTACCAAATACTGATCCAATAATATGTTCGCCGACTTAATATCGCGATGAATCACCGCAGTCGTTCTACCTGTATGAAGGTAATGGATTCCTCTAGCTGCACCAACACAAATCTCCAGTCTTTGATTCCATGATAAAGGTTGCTTCTGTTTCTTGTATAAATGATCACAAAGTGAACCTTCAGCCATGTATTCATACACAAGTATCGATTCATTACTCTCTTGACAGTATCCCAACAGTGACACTAAATTCATATGATAAAATGAATGAAAATTGATCTCATTTTGAAATTCCTTAAAGCCTTGTCGCGAACTCGGCTTAGCGCGCTTTATCGCCACATCAATCACTACTCCATCAAGCATGATGTTTCCTTTGTATACCTTTCCAAAACCTCCTTCCCCAATCACAAGATCTTCATTGAAATCATTTGTTGCTGAAGTGATCTCTTCTAAAGTGAATTGATAACAATTACCTGATATCACTTTTACTTGAATCATTTCTTCACTTCTTGAAGTGGAATTCAATTTAAGTACATGAAAAATTCCAATTTTCATTTTTGTCCATGCTTTTCTTCTAACAATGAAAAATGTTATGAAAAGTACCAAAATGATACTGAAAGTACTAGTACCAACAACAACAACAAAAATTGGAAATTTCTTCTCCTTTTGAAGTCCATTCTTCAATTGGAAACTTGCATCAAGACTATTGTTACCATCACTTAACTTGATAATCTCAACTCCATTCAATATAGCATCGTGATACTTTGGCCTTGACTCCAAATTGGGATGAAGTGAGATCAACATGAAAACTTTCCTTCTCTCACTTTCCAAATTAACCATTACAACATAGTCTCTATACAAAGGACTTAAAGGTTCGCCAGACAAAGCAACTAAATCCAAATTTTCCTCAGCTGTTTGGTTGTTTATATAAACACTAAAAACCCTCTGATTCACATCTACTACCGACGTAGATATCTCGCAGAAATGAAGTCTAACAAGGTATTTGAATCCGGAATCAACAAAAAATGACCATGTTAAATTGTACCTGGTGTTTGAATCTCCATTGCTTCCCATTGTCCTTGCAGTCAAGTATAACTCGAGTGGTGCTGAATAGTTATAGTCATTTGAATTGAGAAAACTTGCATTCATATTAATCATATTCTCTTTCAGAATAAGAGTAGTTCCATACTGTGAACCAGAAATGTAGTTGATATCATCTAGCCATGACCCAAATGCATTTTCAACTTGATAGTAAGATTCAGTTCCTATGTTAACCATGTAAAGCTTCTCAAAAGCATATTCATTGTTGATAAAAATTGGTTCTTTGTGTCCAAGGTAAGGAACAGAAACATTAGAATTTGAAGCATGAGAGAATAAGTTATTGGGCACTGAGAATGTTTCAATTCCATTTACAAAAGCATAAGCTTTGTGAATTCGAGGAGATGGAGTGAAAGTAATGTTGAGGTTCTTTTGTTTGATGTTGACAAAGAAATCTTTAGTGATATAAGATGAGTTGATTTCTTGTGTAGCAAGTAATGGATTGAAATTGTCGACAAGAGTGTATGGACCCGATTTGACTGAAAAAAAGGAGTTGGAGTTGGAGTTGGAAGTGTATGTTGGTAAATATGAAGTTGAGAGAAAGTATAAACGAATGAATTTAAGGCCAGGAGAAGAGAAGGGGATTGAGTAGGTTAATGGAGAATGATGAACTATTCTTGCTGTTGAGTATGGAACTTCTGGTGCTACTTTGTTTGTGTTTGAGAGTAAGAGTGTTGTTGATGAAGTTGTATCATATGATGTTTGCAACAAACTTGTTTCAATGTCTCCTATCCAGTTTAGACCATTGAATGTTGATGATCCGGATGAACCACAGTTAAGGAGGATTTTGTCAGAAGGGATGTTTATTGAATCGGAATCACAAGATGTTAAATGAATGAAGAAATAGAAGAAGAGTTGTGGAACTAAAAAGATAATTACAAATCTAGATGAGTCTGTTATGTGAGTTTTCTTCATCTTGGGGTTGAACAAAGGAAAACTTGGGGAGGAGTATTGTATGGTTTACTCACATGTTACCTTAAAAACAAAAGTTGTATATTTCTTTATTTATGAATTTGACTAATTTTATTGGTCCATGTTTTGTTACATATCAAATGATTCAAATCTCATGTGGCAGAGAGAATACAGCTGTGAGCATAGGTGATGTAAAGTCACTCAAGGACAGATGCAACGCGGATTCCACTCAAGGTCTTAAATTCTTAGTCTAACACAAATAAGATGAATATAGAATACAAGTAAAGAAATTAATAATCAGATGCAAAGAAATTCCTACTCCAATGAAGAAATCAAGCTCTTCCTTTCCGGCCGTTATCCTTTTCAAGGGTTTTGCTTATAAAGTCTTTGAGAAGTACTGAAAAAATGCATTTTAAAATTAAGTTTCTCTAGGTCGGGCGGTTAGGTTATTTATTACTTTGGGGATGATAATATTATGTAAGTTATTGGAGTATAATAAGATGATTTGTTAAAATCCTCCTTTTTGCTCTTGTGTTACACCTACTTATTCATCAGATTAGTGACAACGATAAGCTTCTTCATGACAGGAATTTTGATGATGGGACCATCATAGGGGATTCAGAGGAGGTGGTTAAAGTCCTTGACATCTTTCAAGAGTCCGGTCTAAGATGAGGTCTCGAATTGAACATTCTTAAAACTGAGATTTTTGGCCTTTGTGTGATGGTAGTAAACTTCGCGAGGAGTTGTTTGTTTCGGATATTGGGAGGTCAATGTCGGGGATGAAATTGCTTGGAGGAGTTGTTAGTCGAGATGAAGGCTTTATTGAGGGATTGTCCATGAAGAGAGTGGTCATGGCTGTTGAGTTCATTCATCTTCTGCCACAATTAAGATATCCTAAGAGTGGGTTTCTTTTACTCCGTTTTTGTATGGATATCGTCAAACTCTTTTTTGGCCTTAAAACATGTCAACCTAATCATATGGAGAAAATAAGTATTTGATTGGATAAAGAGCTGTGAATGGTGTGAATGGTGGTTGAAGACATCGTGGTTGGTCACTACTACAAAAAGTATCTTTCGTAATGCCACCGAATTTTATTTCACCATAGATAAAGAATACACCATAGTAGAATCTATTCAATTAGACGCTTTCATTTTTTATATTTTATCAAAAGACATATAACAACAACTATTTAATACAATCGTTATTGTATGTAGCGCATGGTCATGAGTTCGAATCTTATTGTTGTTGTTGTTACAGCTGAATTTTTTTAATATTTTATTAAAAGACATACAACAACGGTTGAATTACGGTTGTTTAATTCAACTGTTGTCGTATGTAGCGCATGATCATGAGTTCAAATCTTGATGATATTGTTGTTCTACTGCTGTATTTTTTTATATATTATAAGACATACAATAACGGTTGTTTAATACAACCGTTGTTGTATGTATCGCGCTATTGAGTTTATTGAGTTTCTTATAAGCGTGTTTATAAAGTTTCTTCACCGTACTTAAACAAATCTCTGTCGTCCATTTAGTGAGTATCAACGCTCAAGACACTACCATTAGTGATCCGCGTGAAACCTAAAACTTAGACGAACTTTATCTTCTACCTTCAAATGTCGTCTTTCATTTACGACACGCCATTTCTCCACTAAACCAAGCTCGAAAATATCATTTCTTCCACAAACAAAACTCGAAAAAATCATTTCTTTCATTAACAAATTTCAGAACTCCGTCATCTCTTCTCCAACTTAAATGAGACAAGGAAAGTATTGATTCAAGTTAGCAATATTAGTTGTTGTTGTTCTTTTTTTTGTTATTGTTGTTGTTCTTGTTGTTCTTGTTTTTATTATTGTTGTTCTTGTTGTTGTTTTGTTGTTGTTCTTGTTGTTCTTGTTGTTGATGTTGTTCTACTGCTGCATTTTTTTATTTTATTAAAAGACATACAACAACGGTTGTTTAATACAACGGTAGTTGTATGTGGAGGGCTATCTAATTTATAACAATGATTACACGCCTGTTGTGGTAACCAGTATACATACAATCACACGCTACCTAACAAAGGACGTGCTACCATTATTATATGTGTTTCGCAAGCGTTATTGTATGTGTTTTCCGTAGTACTGGATGGAGGTCCTATCTCGCCTGTGGATGGATTCAAAAAATACTCGTCGGACGGAATCAACAAAGTCTTGCCTAAAGGACTCAACAAAACCTTGTCAGAAGAGTGGCGACCAATCCTCACCTAAAGGTAGGGGTAAATGTCTTTAGTGGACTCCTATAGAAGGTTCAAATGTGAAGGGTTAAAACACTTGAGTCTCTACGAGCCCTCGTACTTAAGGGACTGTGTAGTGGAATAATTTGTAGAATATTAATCAGACTTTGTATACTTTTAACTTCTTGTATATTGCTCTTAGTGAATAAATTACACACACTTGGTCTTTTGTAGACTCAAACAAAACCTTTACAATTCTAAAACAGTAAATTAAACAACATAACTGCTACATAACTACAAAAGAAAACTAATGCCTTTCCTACTACCATAGTTAATACTTAATCATTTATTTATAACTCATTTAATGTTTTATTTCAACAAAACTCCTCCTTAAACATTAAATGCTTCTTCGATCCAGCATCCCAGTCATTTTTCTGCCTCTTTCGAATACTTCTCTTGATAGTGGTTTTGTGAAGATGTCAGCTGCTTGGTCTTTGCTTGCCACATGCCTTAGTTCCACGCTTCCTTCTTTCACATGTTCACATATGAAGTGAAATCGAACGTTTATATGCTTGCTTCGTTCATGATTGACTGGATTCTTCGCTAACTCAATAGCTGATTTGTTGTCCACGTGTATTATTGTTGGACCTTCCTGCTTCAGCCTCATCTTACTTGTCAACCTTCTGAGCCATACAGCATGACACACACACCAGGATGCTGCCACATACTCTTCCTCACACGTTGAAAGTGTCACTATTGGCTGCTTCTTCGATAGCCAAGTGAAAGTTGTGTTTCCCATGAAAAACACGTATCCTGCAGTGCTCTTTCGATCATCAACGTCTCCACACCAGTCATTGTCAGAATATCCAACTAGCTTGTAGTCTTCAGTCTTTGAATAAAACATCCCAAGTGATACTGTTCCTTGGATGTATCTCATAATTCGTTTCAGCGCTTTCCAGTGTGTGTGAACTGGCTCCTCCATGAATCTGCTCACTATGCCAACACTAAGTGAAATATTTGGCCTTGTGCATGTGAGATATCGAAGACTGCCTACCAAGCTTCGATATTTACTTCCTTCGACTCGTTCTCCTCCATCAAACTTCGACAGCTTTGTGCCTGGCTCCATTGGCGTCGAAATTGGGTTGCAATTCTTCATTTTATACTTTTCTAGGATTTCCTTTGCATACTTTTCTTGTGATATGAAAATCCCAGCTTCTTCCTGTCGAACCTCCAGACCAAGAAAAAATCTCATCAGACCTAAGTCTGTCATTTCGAATTCTCTTGTCATGGTGTTTTTGAAGTCTTCGATCATCTTAACATTATTGCCTAGAAAAATGAGATCATCAACATACAGAGCCACAAGTAATAAATCACCTCCATTTTTCTTCACATAGAGCGCTGGTTCATAGGGGCATTGCTCGAATCCACTCTCCTTAAAATATGTATCAATGCGTGTGTTCCATGCCCTAGGTGTTTGCTTCAGCCCATACAATGATTTCTTCAGTTTCAGCACCTTCTTCTCTTCTCCAGCCTTCATATAACCAAGTGGTTGTTCGACATAGATTTCTTCTTCGAGCACACCATTCAAAAATGCTGTCTTGACATCCATTTGAAATATTTTCCATTTGAACTGAGCAGCTTGAGAGATGAGCAATCGAATTGTCTCCATTCTTGCAACAGGCGCGAACACTTCGTCATAGTCAATGCCAGCTTTCTGCTTGTATCCCTTTGCAACCAGCCGTGCCTTGTATCTTTCGATCTCTCCTTGGGCGTTCATTTTTTTCTTAAATACCCACTTTACACCAATGGGTTGATTTCCTTTTGGTAATTCGACCATCTCCCAAGTTTTGTTGTGTTCGATTGCTTTAATTTCTTCGTCCATGGCGTTTTTCCACTTCTCATCCCTTAACGCTTCTTCAACACTTATGTTTTCAGCATCTGCCAGAAGGCACACAAGATGCACCTCACTTGTTGACTCATACAGATCTTGTAAACTTCTCATTCTGGGTTGTAGAGGTTCATCTCTATCTTCTGTTTCTTCATGTTCTTCTGGAGTTTTTGTTGGTACAGCTATAGTTATTTCTTCGACTGTGTCACCAACCTCTGTCGAAGTGTTCCAGTCCCACTTGCTGGCTTCATTCATTCGAACGTCTCTGCTTACAACCACTTTCTTACTTATGGGATTAAAAAGCTTGTACCCCTTCGTCTTCTCATCATATCCAATGAATATGAACTTCTGACTTTTGTCTTCGAGCTTTGTTCTTCGTTGGTCTGGTACATGCGCATAAGCTATGCTACCAAACACTTTGAGATGGGAGATTGTTGGCTTCTGTCCAATCCATGCTTCTTGTGGTGTTTTGTCTTCCAGCTTCGAATGTGGACACCTATTCTGAATGTAAACAGCACATTGTACTGCTTCTGCCCAGAACTCTTTCAGCATACTCTTGCTTTTAAGCATTGATCGAACCATGTCAAAGATAGTTCGATTCTTCCTTTCAGCCACACCATTTTGCTGAGGTGAATATGGCGCAGTAAGGAATCTTCTTATGCCCTGTTCTTCACAGTACTTCACAAAGGCAATCGAAGTATACTCTCCTCCTTTGTCTGATCGAATTGATTTGATGTTTCTTTTTGTTGCCTTTTCCACCATTACTTTGAATTTCTTGAACACTTCTAGTGCTTCATATTTTTCTTTCAGAAAATAGACCCAGGTTTTTCTTGAGTAGTCATCAATGAAGGAAATGAAATACTTCTTTCCAATGAAGGATTCTGGAGTAATTGGCCCACATATATCAGTATGTATCAATTCGAGTATCTGTTTGGCTTGATACTCTGCCTTCTTCTGAAATGAGGTTCTGGTTTGTTTGCTGAGCACACATTCTTCACAGAATTTTCCTTCGAACTCCATGTCTGGCAGTCCATGCACCATGTTCCTTTTTGCCAATCTTCTCAGACCAGCATGATGTAGGTGACCAAAGCGCATGTGCCACAGTGACGCTTTGTCTTGCACTTCGATCTGCAGACATTTCTCTCGAATGTTCCTCAAGTTAAGTTTGTAGATTCGATTTCTCTCCATTTCGACAGCAGCAATTAGATATCCTGTTTTGTCCTTCAACTGCAGTGTTCGATCTTTCATCAGGATCGAAGCACCCTTTTCAGTGAGTTGTCCCAGACTTAATATGTTGGTCTTAAGGTCTGGTACATAGTAGACATCTTCGATTGACCCAATCAAGCCATCCTTCTGCAAATAGCTGATTGTGCCCTTTCCTTCAACTTTTACCTTCGATGCATCTCCAAAAGACACGCTGCCATCTTCAACTCCCTTCATATCTTTAAACAGGGTTTGTAACCACACATGTGATTACTTGCTCCTGAGTCAAGATACCAAATACTGTCATTGGTGTTGATTTCGTTTTGGGCCATCAGGAGAAACCCTTCATTCGATTCAGCTTCCAAAGTCAGATTGGTTGTCTCTTCAGTCTTCTTTTCATTTCGACAGTCTTTTGCAAGATGTCCCACTTTGTCACAATTGTAACATTTGTAGGAGTTGCAATCCTTCGCGTAATGGCCATACTTGCCACACTTGTAGCATTCGAAATTTGAATAATTCGAACGATCACCTCTTTGGCCACGTCCTCTGCCACGCCAGTTTTGTTGGCTCGAATTTCCTCTTTCGAAGTTACTGCCTCTACCACTTCGACCACTGTCACGTCCTCCACGTCCACGTCCTCTTCCTCGAAAGTTGTTCGAAAAGAGTACTTTTTCATCTTTCGATTCTTTTGTTTGGTTTGCTTCTTCTTCTGCCTCTTCTTTCTTCTTCATCTTTCTTTGTTCATGTGCTTCGAGCGAACCAGTGAGCTCTTCGATTGAGAGCGTCGAAAGGTCCTTCGATTCTTCTATTGCACACACCAGATTTTCAAACTTGTCTGTTAAAGATCTTAAGATCTTTTCAACAACTCTTGCATCAGCTACTGTCTCACCATTTCTTGTGAGTTGATTCACCACTTTCTGCACACGAGTGATGTAATCTGATACATTTTTTGTATCCTTCATTTTTATCCTCTCCAATTCGCCACGAAGCGTTTGGAGTCGAACCTGCTTCACTTTGTCTGCTCCTTTGAACACCTTCTCTAACGTGTCCCACGCTTGTTTCGACGTAGTCGAACTAGCAATCTTCTCAAAGCCTGATTCATCCACAGTCCTGGACAACATATATAGTGTTGTTTTGTCCTTCGCTCGCGTCTCTTTTAACGTCTTCGTTTGGGCTGCTGTATATCCTCCAATTTCTGTTGGTTCTTCAAATCCATCATTGGTCACTTCCCACGCATCTAGAGATCCAAGAAGAGCTTTCATTTGGATGCTCCAGTTTTCATAGTCTGACTTCGTTATCCGTGGTAACGGCATTTGGTTCATCATGTTCGTCATGAGCTCTGATGCCAATTTGTAGAATATTAATCAGACTTTGTATACTTTTAACTTCTTGTATATTGCTCTTAGTGAATAAATTACACACACTTGGTCTTTTGTAGACTCAAACAAAACCTTTACAATTCTAAAACAGTAAATTAAACAACATAACTGCTACATAACTACAAAAGAAAACTAATGTCTTTCCTACTACCATAGTTAATACTTAATCATTTATTTCTAACTCATTTAATGTTTTATTTCAACATAATTGAAGAAGACCTTGTGAGCAAGGACGAGAGGCATACACTTTGTCCTTCCCAAGTCGTCTCTATATTAATTCGAGCACCTTTCTTTTGGATAGATCGCCCTTGTCCAGATTCATCGCCCGACTTCCCATTTCACCACCAAATTATTAATAGAAAGAAAATACCAAGGGAAGTGGAAGCAGATTCTAGATTCTGTTGAAAATTCAAACAATATACTGTGTTAGGTAAATTGACATAACATTGACAACCTTTTTGTATTTATGTTATCATTAGCTGGATTGTATTAAGATATCACTACCAAATATATCTTCTTCTCTTTTTTGTATGACTCAGTCACTCGTATCAAATTCATAAGTATTAGTCAACAAGCTTATTTTTAAAAACAAAAATATCACAGCTCACTAAGATATAAGAAAACTTCAGAGCTAAGAGGTAATTACAATATTATCCACCAACAACATTTTTATATAAACTGAGTTTAAACTTATCATCAATATGCTACTTTTTGCCAAACACAGTTAAAAAGAAGCCAAGCATAAAAAGTTTTAAATTTTTCCATTCTAACAAACCATTTAGATACAATAAATGTTGCATAAACATATGAATCTTGTAACATGTTTTATTATATACTACACTTTTACCTCAAACTTCAACTATATCATACATTCACAGCTATTAGTTGGTGCTGACAACAACACTAGTTATGTTCCCTCAGAAAACATTGTTCTCAATTGTGGTTCTAACACATCACAACTTGTTCAATATGATGGTAGATTCTGGATTGGAGACATTCATTCACCATATTTACCTTCCAATGATTTCATCAACAATTCCTTAATAGCAACATCTCCTTCAAATCATCAATCTATCCCTCAAGTTCCTTATATGACTGCTAGAATTTTTCTCTCACAGTTCACTTATAGATTCAATCTAACTTCGGGTCCAAAATTCATACGTCTTTATTTCTACCCTTTTTCTTATTTGGATTTTAACATCTCCAAAGCTTTTTTATCAGTAACTGCTGCTAATTTCACTCTCCTGCATAATTTCAGTGTTTCTCTCAATGCAGATTACTTTAACTTAGCATATTTGATGAAAGAATTTGTTGTGCATGTAGAAGGGAACAGTTTGGAACTTACTTTCGCTCCATCATCAAATGCTTCTGATGCATATGCATTTGTGAATGGTATTGAAATTGTTTCAATGCCAAATGGTTTATACATTAATGGTGATGATTCCCCTCTTCCTTTAGTTGGTCATGATCCAAGTGTTGTTTACATTTACAATGATACAGCTATGGAAAATTTGTATAGATTGAATGTAGGAGGCGAGCAAATTTTACCGATATATGATACTGGTATGTTCAGAAATTGGGATATCGATGACAGTTACATATTTGGAGCTGAATATGGTATTAAACACTTTGGTGAGAACATGAAAGTTTTGTATAAGGATGTTCCATCATATACTGCTCCTAGTGATGTCTACCGCACATCACGTTCGATGACTCCGTTTGGAAAAGGACTTGTCAATTTGAATTACAATAAAACATGGTTTTTTTCAGTTGATTCTGGATTCAGATATCTAGTCAGGCTTCATTTCTGTGAAAATGATTACATTATAACAAAGATCAACGAGGTGGTTTTTTCTGTGTTTTTAAATAATCAAACAGCTGAAGAACAGGTTGATCCAGTTGGTATAAGTGGAGGACCTGGAATTCCAGTTTACAAAGACTATGTTGTGATGGTTCCTAAAGACAGTGATGCAAAGCAAGATCTTTGGCTAGATCTTCACCCTGACAAGTATTCAAAACCTGAGTACTACAATGCTTACTTGAATGGTGTTGAGATCTTTAAACTTAGCTATGTTGATGCGAAGAGTCTTGCAGGTCTTAACCCTTCCGAAAAGAAATTTGGTTCATCTACAATGGTTACACCGCATGATGTTAAAAACTCAAAGAAACATACATTCGTTTTCATTGGATGTGGACTTATTGCAGTGGTAATACCAATTCTTTTGTGCCTAGTTCTATTGAAGTTTAAGGTGATCAAGGCTAGAAGGTTCATGTCAAGTTGTGTAGTTCAACCTAATCACAATGTAAAAGCAAAAAAGCCAGCATCACTTTGCTGTCAATTTTCATTAGAAGAGATTAAAATAGCAACAAATGACTTCAATGAGGCTCTACTTATAGGAAGAGGTGGGTTTGGAAGTGTTTACAAAGGTAGCTTTGATGGTAGTGCATCTTTTGTAGCTATAAAGCGCGCTGATCCAATGTCACAACAAGGTGTTGTAGAATTTGAGACAGAGATTCATTTGCTATCATTTGTAAGCCATAACAGCATAGTCTCGCTTTTGGGATATTGCAATGAAGATGATGAGATGATACTTGTGTATGACTTCATGCCCAATGGAACTCTTTATGACCATCTTCATTCAAAACAAAGAGATCAACAACATCAACCTCATCTGTCATGGATTCAAAGGCTTGAGATATGCATTGGAGTTGCAAGAGGCTTGCATTACTTACACACCGGCACAAAGCAAAAGATCATTCACCGCGATATAAAGACCACAAACATACTCTTAGACCATAATTGGGTGGCCAAAATTTCAGATTTTGGTTTGTCAAAGGAAAGTTACACTTCCTTAAGCGCCACTGCCGTAAAGGGTAGCACCGGTTACGTTGATCCGGAATACTATCAATGCGGAATGCTGACTGAAAAATCTGATTTATACTCACTTGGTGTGGTTTTGTTGGAGGTGTTAAGTTCAAGACAAGCTTTAAGTCCATGTGAAGAAGAAGATGATGATGATGATGATGAGCATTTAAACTTGGCTGAATGGGCTAAGTTTTGTTATGAGAATGGAAATGTGGAAGAAATAGTGGATCCAAATTTGGAAGGAAAGATAGTTAAGGAGTGTTTAGAGTTATATTTAGGTGTTGCTATGGAATGTTTGGCTGAAAGAGGAGCGGAGCGGCCAACCAGTGGTAATGTGCTGCAGAATCTTTTAATGGCAATGAAATTTCAGAAAAATGGTGGGAATGTACAAAATGTTACGCAGGAGTATTCAGACTTGACACCTGGGATTGAGTTCTCTGATATTGTGATGCCTGTTGGTAGGTGAATGTTAGTTTTTATGAAATGAACTTCAACTCGTAAGTAGCAGGAGCCATAAGAGATGTGTAATTCTTAATTTTATTGTAGACTACACTGTCAAGAAGAAACTAATCAATATATGAGAATTCAATTCTATTCGGTGTTTTTTGAAGCTGTCAAATGTGTTGAAATTTCTCAAATACAAATTGATTTTGTTTGTTTTATTTTGACTGAAAACATCTCATTATATCAAGCCAAAAAGATCAGAACATACAGCTGAAATGGATCCATTGACACACTATCTTTGTTTCCGTAACCGAAACCATTCCTTCACGATTTAATAAATAAAGTTCTTTATTATGATAAAATTCTGTTTTATGCATGTGAGATACTTTTTTTCCCCATAAAGAATAGTGAATAACCTATGAAACGAGAAGAGAAGAAAACTTACTATCTTGTTATAAAAAAAATGAATTTTATTAGTATAAATAATACATGGTTTAACATTTTGTCCAACGTATAATGAACTTCAATTTGGTTAGTCCGAATTTTCAATAGAGTTATGCGTTGAAATGTTGATTAAAGATAGCTGGAAAACACTAATGCTTTTAGTCGCAAGAATAAATAATAATAATAAAATAAAAATATATATTATTCGTATATCTCATAGATTTGTCTTCAATGATCAAAATGACAATAAATTGGTAAAAATTGCTGATGTGACAAGATATATTTGTTTCTGTACCTTTTGCTAGCCCCCAAGTTCTCCAATATAACATCAACACTGTCTAATACACAATATGGGTGAATTTTACAGCGCATCTTCAAAATTTGGCATTTCCTGAGTTATATAACCTTAACATGATCTTGTTCTTTAACCCATTATTATGCCATTAAATTTAATTTGGGGGAAGGTAGGAGAAAGACTAAATGAATTAAAAAATAATACAAACATAAAAATGAAGCATAAGCGCTTCAATTAAAACACCAACCATATCCATTCAGACTATGGAATTTATCTAGTGCCATGAAGTATTACAAAACTTCTCCTTCATGCGTGAGATGAGCTTGCACTTCTCCTCAGCCTCAACGTGCTCGCGAAGGTCAGTTTTTGATGCTCGGTCTGGATGGAACTTAAACATAGCCCGTTTATAGGCAGCATGCACCTAAAATGACAGATCAGAAGATGAAAATGTTAAGCATGAAACACCAGAACAAAAGACACTTCATATCATGATAATAAATAGCTGACAAACTCGTTACAGGTTTAACTAAAAATTAACTCAACCTTGAGAAGGCGACATGAGATGTTACACAACTTTGGTACACTTTTGTCAAAAAGTATTAGCTGATATTTTTTTATAGAAATATTTAATATCTAAAAATATAAGAGGTTAAATGACTGCATGTTGTATGTAGTATCTAAAGATTTGTTGTAGAAGTACTGAAACAATAAACATAATCTAAAGTATAAAGTGAGGTAGAGAATGATATACTATGGAAAAGCAATAGATAACAGAACTTGCCTCATTGGGTAAAGGTCTAAGACTTGTCCCCACATTTATTCCTAAGCCACGAAGCAGTGAGGTCATATCTGAGCATTGATTCTCCAATTGATTGAGCTTCTTCAGTACTTCACCCCGCAGTTGCTCTTTCATGTTCATATATTCTTCCTCCTGAATTTGGTATTAATTATCAGATTAACAGGGAAATAATCAAGTACAACAAAGTTCTATGACTAAGCTAGATTCACAAAGCATGAAAGAAGACATTCAAAATGACAAAACATGGATCTAGCTCTTCTGAATTGAGAGGATACACTTCAGAGAATCCAAATCCACCAAATTTAGTTTAAGTAAAAAATAAAATGGAAGTAAGCAAATACTAACTGACACGAGAAGTATAAGTAGCATGAGAAATACTCAAGTTAAAGACATAATTGCAACCTTCTTATCTGTCTCTCTCACTTCTTCAACGCGTTCTTTTTGCCTTCTCTCAATATCTTGCAATCGGCGACTTTCAGCCTTTTTTCTTTTGCGCAACTTTTGTGCTTCCTCTGACTGTAGTATGCATATTCTCAGTTAACAGAACAAAAACTTGCACAAAACGAGATAGTGGCATATATAAACAAAACCAAATACCTAGTAAGCACTTGAATAGAATGAGTTAAACTCGATAGGCAGAAAAGAATATTGACAACAACAAACCATAACATATTGATTAGTCATAACAATTAAACAAAAAATAAGACAATAACAAGAATGTCATTGGTGGTTTAACAGATTTACATTAGTCGGCATTGAATGTAATTAATCTGCATAAGATATGACAATTTTTTTAAATTACTTGGCTGGTAAGCCAGGGCAGTAGGGTAATGCTGGAGAATCCAACAAGCAAACACAATTATATTGGATTTTGACTCTTCTGAAATGAATGAGTCATTTTGATTGGAAAAGTAAGGAGACCGAGTCATTGATTGCAAAATCTCAAGTTGAAATTATAATCACATGCATGCACAAGTATAGCAAACTAGTACATAGTTATTTTCCAATCAATGGCTATAGCTTCTTTCCGTCACCATCTACTTCAATCATGGTTCATTATAGACTTTCCAGTCTATTGTTAAAAGATGCCAAATGCAATATTAGTTCCCCTTAACTTCCTCTCAATCCAACATTACTTTCCCAAGTCTTTAAGCCAGGCCTCACTACATATTCCTCATAGTTCTAGAGCTTTGCATGTCAGCACCACTTCCTCCTTTGTCTCTTCCACCCAATGTAGGCATGATCCCGAGTCAACTCTCGTCCAATCCAACGTTCCAATCGCATGCTGGCATGCTGCAATTCAAGTAAAATCGTACATAGCAAGTTCGGTAAACTCATCCGAGTTAAAAAGCTAACTAGTTATGAATTCTGAGATGCGGCGCATCTGTTTTTGGGGTTTTTTGAGAAAAAATCCTAATTTCCTAAAACAGGCCTGGATCCGGGTCGGGTCGTATTAAAATCCTTATTTATTATTTTTTTTAAATGGAAATCCTAAAACATGGTATCATAACTTCTTTTAAATAAAAAGCAGTACCAAGTAAACGCCGTATTACGTAAACTGTTCGTGATTGCAGCCTTCCACTCTCAATAACCGCAACCGTTACCAACGTATCATTAATCTTTTATTTCAGCATAAATTCTCATCCTTCAATCACGATTTTTCTTCCATATTACTCTTCGAAACCAATTTAATTCCTCTTCCTTGTTCTAAACCATACCCTGTTTCCTTTCATACATGCTTCCTTTTTTGTTTCGACTCTGTTTCTTTTTCCTCCCCTGTTCTTCTATTTTTTTCATCCCCTATTTTTCTTTTCTCTTTTTATTCTTTAGATTCTACTTGGTGTAAATGGCTTCAAATAATGGAAGTGAATCAATACCTCCTAATGGTAGTAAATCAATACCTCCTGTAAATTATAAATATATAAATATATTTTCTACCAATAGTAGGATCTTACAATCCGTGCTACGATCCTCGAGTTCAAATTTTCAATCCTTTACCGATTCTGTGTAAACTCTCAAGTTAACATCGCATCCACCTCAAATGCCATAAACCACCGTCGGCCATCAACAACATTGTCTGCCCTCCTTCATTCAACAGCTTCATCATAATCTTCAACGCCTGAAACAAACAGCAACCTACAAGCAAATGTTTAAGCCCTTATTTCTTCCAAGCTTCCTTTTCTTTCTTCCTGAGGAGCTCAAGCAGTGTAGAGGAATTTTCCCCAAACTGGCCATCCTTAGTTGGCAAAACCCATCATTTCCACAGTTTGGGTCATGTTGACTTGTAGGCACAAATATTGAACTTCCCATAAAAGGACCCTGATCTGAATCTCTACCCATTACTCTATTTGAATCCCTTAACAAAAATTTCAGGATTTCCATAAGAACATAAACTTACTGCATCGGAGTTGCCAATGTCCCGAGCATCTAAAGCACCTTCATCCATTAATATTAGGATGTATAACATTGGCCTAAAACATTCAATTAAGCCACACGTTGATTCATCTAATATAAGTATAACCAGATTAGCCATTCCTGAATAGCGGCGCGGAGCGGCCGAACACTAAAGTGGAATAGCGGGATTGCGTATAGCTGGATGACCGCTCTATTTGATCATTTTTTTGGACATATTACATATAATAATTATGAAGATATATTTAATGTAAAATTAAACAAATAACTCACTTCATAAAATATTCATAAATCAAAGCACACATGACTCTTGAAGGGCATAAGCGACTATGAAGGAAAGTTAAGGTTGAGATTCAACTCAATTTGATTGAAAAACCCAAAATTATCCTTAAAACGTTGTAAATTTAAGAGGTAATTTCAGTTTTTTTAGAGGGGAAAAGGATAGCGGGCCAGAAACCACTCCGGACCGGGAGTAGCTCTGCTCCGCCATCCCGTTATTTACCCTATGGCAGCCGCTATAGTATTATGCACTGCTATGACTCTTCCCAAAGCGGCCGGCCTCTGCTCCGCTATAGCGGGATAGCGCCGGTATTGGCCGTTATTGACTACTATATAACTCAATTAGGAAACATTAGGTATTTTGGATCTATATGCGAAAAGAGCATCTAAGCATTTTAATGAGGCTTTTCCAATAAATATGAGGGATTGGGCAGCTCCATTCCATTAAGGTTCTCTGTTTTCTTGGTAGTTTTCTCTTTTTCTCTCGCATGCAGCATACTTTCTTAATATCAACAATATTTTTCTTTTCACAATAGTAGATCTCTTTTAAAAACACACATTCACTTAACATGAGTAACAATAGTAAATAAAAAAATGCTCATCTTTATTTGAAATTCCTAAAGTCTCAAGTTATCATCCAAAGACTCAAAATTATAAGGTCTTCAAATGTATACTAGATAAATTTAAACAAGAAATACACATGTGTTTACAAGGAGGTAGCATTTACAAAATAAGTAGCCCCTTCTCAACTTGCAAGACACAATGCACTTGAAGGGCCAAGACATGCAGTGGC